GGCCAACAGATGTCAGCATGCTGGACTCTTGACCTATTGAATTTCCCATGCAGCTAGAAGACAAGTATCTCTAAAAGCTTTAACAGCTTTTTTTTATTAACATTTTTTATGTTTTTTTGTCTGTTTTAATGAACTTAGAAATCAAGAGAGATTCTTTTTTTGTCAATGTTTGTATTTTTTTCTTTGTTTACTTTTACCATACAAATGAATTGTACATCATTCTAAGCATACGTCAAAACAGATATGTAAGTATGTAAGGAAAAAAGATCTAGGAAACATGAAATTCCTGTCTGTTAATTTCTTTGGAATTTTTTGTATTGGTTTTAGCTATATGTTGATCTCAAGTCCAATGATGTCACAAGTAAGTTTAAAAAAGCTGTCTCGAAACGTGAAAACTTACAGACAATAGGAGGTATGTCAACAGCATCGAGTGAGGGAACTACACATTCTGTTCGATATGAAGAACAAGTAGCTTTTTCCGATTGGATAAACAGGTTAGGATAACAGATATAATACAGTATTGTTGTGGGACTAATGAACTTTGTAACAACATCATTGAAATAAATAAGAGAAGTTTCAGTGCTACTATAGCATGCGGTCTACAAAGATATTTACACCATGGCGTGTAGTCTACAAAGATATTTACACTATAGCATGCAGTCTACAAAGATATTTACACTATAACATGTAGTCTACAAAGATAGTTACACTATAGCATGAGGTCTATACAGATATTTACACTATAGTGTGCGGTCTACAAAGATATTTACACTATAGCATGCTGTCTACACAGATATTTACACTATAGCGTGCAGTCTACAAAGATATTTACACTATAGTGTGCGGTCTACAAAGATATTTACACTATAGCGTGCGGTCTACAAAGATATTTACACTATAGCATGAGGTCTACACAGATATTTACACTATAGCGTGAGGTCTACACAGATATTTACACTATAGCGTGAGGTCTACACAGATATTTACACTATAGTGTGTAGTCTACAAAGATATTTACACTATAGCGTGCAGTCTACAAAGATATTTACACTATAGTGTGCGGTCTTCAAAGAAGAGTGTAATATAGATAGTCCATTATGTAGCTTTGTGTTTAATAACAAACAAACGTTTGAGTTAAGAGTGTAATATAGATAGTCCATTATGTAGCTCTGTGTTAAATAACAAACAAAGTTTGAGTTAAGAGTGGAATATAGATAGTCCATTATGTAGCCTTGTGTTTAATAACAAACAAGCGTTTGAGTTAAGAGTGGAATATAGATAGTCCATTATGTAGCCTTGTGTTTAATAACAAACAAGCGTTTGAGTTAAGAGTGGAATATAGATAGTCCATTATGTAGCTCTGTGTTAAATAACAAACAAGCGTTTGAGTTAAGAGTGGAATATAGATAGTCCGTCCATTATGTAGCTTTAACAACAAACAAACAAGTGGAATATTTTAATGTTTATACCTAAACCCACAACTTTCTGTTCTGCTTTTCATCATATGTGTGAAATTTTCATCAACTTAAAAAACAATTTCATATTACAATAGCTACGAACTACAATCCCAGACTTCAGTAGCTACAAACTACAATCCCAGACTTCAGTAGCTACAAACTACAATCCCAGACTTCAGTAGCTACAAACTACAATCCCAGACTTCAGTAGCTACAAACTACAATCCCAGACTTCAGTAGCTACAAACTACAATCCCAGATTTCTGTAGCTACAAACTACAATCCCAGACTTCAGTAGCTAAGAACTACAATCTCATATTACAATAGCTAAAAGTTACAACCTCAGACTACAGCAACTAAGAAATACAATCTCAAACTACAATAGCTATCAACTACAAACTGAGATTACAGTAGCTAGGAAATACAATCTCAGAATACAGTAGCTACAAACTACAGTAGCTATCAACTACAAACTGAGATTACAGTAGCTACGAAATACAATCTCAGAATACAGTAGCTACAAACTACAGTAGCTATCAACTACAAACTGAGATTACAGTAGCTAGGAAATACAATCTCAGAATACAGTAGCTATGAACTTAGCTTTTTTTGGTTGCTATCATCAGCCTCTTAAGAATAACAATTGTGATCTGAACAGCTACTGAAAGTACAGGTAAACAACATTAGCAAATGTGACTATCCCATTGTTTGATAGAACATGTATAAACATTTGATAAAAATGAAAATATTTATCATAGCACTAACAGAGTTGATGGTTGAGATAAATACTCTATGATTGTTTTAGATTCCTTTTTAAAACAGTTACCGATCTTAAGGAGAGTAAACTTTGTCTATATCAAAGTACGTGCACGGCCACTCCAACAGGATGATTTACTTTACCAAAACAAGTGAATAAAAAAATTACTTTATACAAACTTGCAAAACAACAAAAAACTATAACAGTCGTATTATTAGTTTTACTCATGAGCATTGCCAGTCCAATGAATAAAATCCATTGGACTGAGCAGTTAAAGAAACGAAAATATATTTAACCAGAAAAATCCATCAAAAACTTTTATCTTATATTTGTTTTCTTGGATTCAACACAATCTAATTTGACTTTTTGTGGTAATTTTAAATGTAACTTTACAAAAACAGATAAAGACCTTTTATACTTTAAACTATCCAAAATATTTTAATTAACAATTCTAGTGTTAATGAATTAGAACTGGTTTAAAATTTAAGATAATTTATAGGTCTATAATAAAAAAATATAAATAACCTCAACACCATTATTTTGTTAAATTGGTTACACACTTGTTTTTTAAACTTCTACAGATCTCAGTCTTTATATCGTACATCTAATATTTAACAAATTTCACCCAAAACAATTGATAATAAAAAAATAAAAAGTTATTGTTAATTAACAATTATTATTCTCAAGAAATTTAAATTATGTTTTTTGAGAAAATAATGAGCAATAGTTTCCAAAGAAAGAGTTGTTTCACACATTAGCAACAGTTTGTAAAGTTGTTTCACACATTAGCAACAGTTGGTAAAGTTGTTTCACACATTAGCAACAGTTGGTAAAGTTGTTTCACACATTAGCAACAGTTGGTAAAGCTGTTTTGCTCATTAGCAACAGTTGGTAAAGTTGTTTCGTACATTAGCAACAGTTGGTAAAGTTGTTTCACACATTAGCAACAGTTTGTAAAGCTGTTTAACACATTGGCAACCATTGGTAAAGTTGTTTCACACATTAGCAACACTTGGTAAAGTTGTTTCATGCATTAGCAACCATTTGTAAAGCTGTTTCACACATTAGCAACAGTTTGTAAAGTTGTTTCACACATTAGCAACAGTTGGTAAAGTTGTTTTACACATTAGCAACACTTGGTAAAGTTGTTTCATGCATTAGCAACCATTTGTAAAGCTGTTTCACACATTAGCAATAGTGTAAAGTTGTTTCGCACATTAGCAACAGTTTGTAAAGTTGTTTCACACATTAGCAAGAATTTCTAAAAAAAGGTTGTTTCCCATACTTTTTAAGGTCTACATCAGAGAAATTATCTCACACTTTTTGTAATATATTTTGTTGAAAACTTTACATTTCAATTAGTACAAAACACTAAGAAATGTTTCTAACCTATAATAACAAGCGACAAATAAACTAGAAGGAAAGGAAATTACTAAGTATGTTTTTAGATTTAATCAATGCTAATATCAAGATTAGATCATTTCCTAACAACACATTTACAGTTCAGTGGGAAACAGGGTTTCTAGCTCACCCGAATTATCTGCCACAAAAGTCCTAAGACCAGGTGAGGTTTCCCTTTAGACAGGTCATAAGCATCAATGTTAATGATGTTACAACCTATGGACTGGGCAGAGTTCAAGGCTAGGGTCAAGTTCTCGTGTTTTGTATAGACTGACAGGTTTTTTTTGTTAATAGCTCTTTCATCAATTGTTTCAGGACAAGAATGGTTTATGACTTTGCTGCAAAAAACAACAAAATAATTAAACATACGCAGAAAGATCTAAGTAAGTGAAAAAGAAAGATTGATACAGAGAAAGATAAATGTACACAAGTGTAACGTTATTTATGGTTCTGTGACATGTTTGTGTATTTATAGAATATCTTAAAATGTAATCCAAAAATGTGCAGCGATAAGACAGGTGAAAAGAAAATGTTCAAAACCTATTTAATCACGAGTTGTGTGTAACTGCGTCCTAGCATTCAAATAATGTGTTTACCTATTACTGCACAGCAGATTCTTATCTGTTTTGGAGAATAATTAAAGAAATGAACTATCTTCAATGTCTGTTATACACCTTTCACGGCTAGATAGGTTTTGACTTTTTTTTTTTTTCTAGATTACATTTTTAAGGTATTTTTACTTCATTTTTTTGTAGTTGCTGACAACTTTAACCTACTTATACAAGACAATATTAAGTTCTCATTATATAATTGCATATTCATTATAACTATATCACAGTGGTTATTTTATTACTTTAGCATTTATATTTGAAATAACCATAAAAAGAAGTGTATACCAAATTTCTGAGGGATTCACTGAATATGAAACAAAAGAAAAACATAAGTTTCTGAGGGATTCACTGAATAAGAAACAAAAGAAAAACATAAGTTTCTGAGGGATTCACTGAATAAGAAACAAAAGAAAAACGTAAGTTTCTGAGGGATTCACTGAATAAGAAATAAAAGAAAAACATACCATATCAAGACACCATCCTTTACCCTTTCATATAAAGTACTTCCTTCGGAGTCAATTGGCAGTAAATCTTTTAAATCTGGGTCCATTCCCAGATTGCTACAAAATAAACAAAGATCAACTAAGAAAAACGTTAAAGAATAAATAAACAACAAGTACAAATCATTTTTTTTTATTATGATAATCAAAGATATTTATAAAACCAACATAAGAAGGGGAGGGTCTGATTTTGCTTATAAAAGTTTGACTCAACTCAGAAATAAGAGGTAGGCATAAAATATTTACAAATAAAAAGAATATTTAAAAAACATATAAATCAACTGGTATGTGAGTCTGTTGGACAAAGGCATAAAAATAATTCTTTCTCTGTATGGGTTGTCTTCTTCTACCTAATAACTTCTGGATGAAGACAAGATGAAAATCTGACCCAACTAAACAAAGACAAGATGAAAATCTGACACAACTAAACAAAGACAAGATGAAAATCTGACACAACTGAACAAAGACAAGATAAAACATGACAACTAAACAAAGACAAGGTGAAAATCTGACAAAACTAAAGACAAGGTGAAAATCTGACAAAACTAAAGAAAGATAAGATGAAAATCTTACACAACTAAACAAAACAAGGTGAAAATCTAATAAAACTAAACAAAGACAGTAAAAACCTGACATAACTAAATAAAGACAAGGTGAAAATCTGACATAACTAAATAAAGACTAAGTGAAAATCTGATACAACATAACTATACAAAGACAAGATGAAAATATGACATAACTTTCTTTAAACAAAAACAAATTAAGATAAAAATCTGAGACTTCACAAAAATCTGAGGGAAAAATCTGAAATAGCTGCATTAATCTCTATAACAATATCATCACCGACAATAAAAAAAAGAAAGGGGAACAAATATCTTTGTAGACCGCACGCTATAGTGTAAATATCTTTGTAGACCGCACGCTATAGTGTAAATATCTGTGTAGACCTCACGCTATAGTGTAAATATCTGTGTAGACCTCATGCTATAGTGTAAATATCTGTGTAGACTGCACGCTATAGTGTAAATATCTGTTTAGACCTCATGCTAGTGTAAATATCTGTGTAGACCTCATGCTATAGTGTAAATATCTTTGTAGACCGCACGCTATAGTGTAAATATAAACTCAAACGTTGTTTGTTATTAAACACAAGGCTACATAATGGACTATCTATATTCCACTCTT